CTAAAATGAAGCAAGAAATAGGGGCAAAAAAAAAAAAAAAAACAGGTAGGATAAATTTAAAAAATAAAGTAGGATGATAAATTTAAATCCATTTATGTAATTAAATATATTAGAATAAATTTATCTGATACTTAGAATAAAAGACAATTTTGACTCATAGCAACAGAATAAAAAATAATTGCACTTCTTTTAAGAGATATCTTAACTATGAATGGGACCTTCTAAAAATTAAATTTTTATGTGTTTCCAAAGACTTCACCAAAAGAGTCAAAAGAGAACCTACAGATTGGGAAAGAATATTCAGCAATGACATATCTGACAAGAGACTTATCTCTAGAATTTATAGAAAACTCCAACAACAAATAACAAAAAGACAAATAATCCAATTTAAAAATGGGCAGAAGACATGAATAGACATTTCACCAAGGAGGTGGCCAACAAACATATGAAGAAATGCTCATGATCATTAGCTATTAGAGCATTGCAAATCAAAACAACAATGAGATACCACCTTGCTCCAGCACTAGCAACAAAGTTCAATAAGACAGAAAATAACAAATGCTTGAGAAGATGTGGAGAAATCGGGACTCTCACACACTGCTGGTAGGACTGTAAAATGGTACAACCACTGTGGAAAGCAGTATGGCAATTCCCTCAAAAGTTGGAAATAGAAATACCATTTGACCCGGCCATTCCATTACTAGGTATATATCCTAAAGAAGTGAGAGCCATGACAAGAGCAGACATATGTACACCCATGTTCATTACAGCACTATTTACAATAGCAAAAAGTTGGAAACACTCTAGGTGTCCATCAACTGAGGAATGGATAACCAAACTATGGTATATACACACAATGGAATACTATGCAACCCTAAAGAATAATGTAGAATCTGCAAAACACTGCATAACATGGATGAACTTGGAGGACATTATGCTGAGTGAAATAAGTCAATCACAGAAGGACAAATATTGTATTAGTCCATTATTGTAAAAGTCAAGGAATGGTTTATCTATGGAAGGAAATTTTCTTTGTTGTTTACCAGGGGTGGGAGGGTAGAGGAGGGAGCACTGTTAGATAGGCAGAGATAAGTATTGATTTGGGTGAAGAAAAGGGCAATGTACCAAATATGAGTGATCAACATGGTTGCATTGAGGAAGAGGAAGACATAGAGAGGTACATGGGAGGTACAGACAATAAAGATGAACCCCTTTGCACATACAGTACTGCGTTGTCAGTGAAGGCAAACACAGGTATATGGGTGGATAGTTGGGGGAACAGGCTGAACTATTACATATGTCTATGAAGCGGGGAGTGTACCCAAGACCATCTATAGGGTTGACAGACAATGGTTCTACAAGTATATTTGTATATTCTGTAAGAATTCCCAGGGGTTATAGTAGAGCTGACAAGAGACAAGGTTGTAGTCACTTCTTGGTCACAGCCAGCTACCCAGAGGGACTGAGTAGTTGAACTGGTGGGCTCATGACCATAGTCACAGGGGACATCAAGTTCAATTGGCATAACATACTACACAAAACATTGTTCCACCTCCTACTTTGGCAAGAAGCGACTGGGATCTTAAAAGCTTGCAAGCAGCCATCTAGGCAACAAAGGGTCTCTCCTCATCCAGAGCAAAGAAGAATGAAGAAAACCAAAGATTCATGGAAGCAATAGTCTTCATGACTAGTACACCATGTGACTGGCATCCTATATGACTATGAGACTAGAAGAACTAGATGGTGCCCAGCTACCACTGTCAAACACTCTGAGGGGGATCTATGTAGGAGACCCCGGATATAGAGAGAGAACAATGTGGAACGAAACTCAAAATCATTTGGGAAAATATAAAAGGTGTGGGGGGGACCAGGTTTGCTGGTCTGATAGCGCTTGTTAGAACCATGGACATTATGGTCCCTACCTGCCCTTCAGGTCTGGAATTGAACCCACACCTGTGGCTTACTGCCAAACAAATGACAGGCATAAGAGTTAAACAAGTACCTGAGGTAGATATACTCCTTGGAGAGAACAATCATGGGAGAAAGAAGGGCTGTTTATGCACAGGGAGACAGTTCAGGGGGCAGGAGTGCATGGAGGGGCAGATAGAAGAAAGAGGTAACTATTGGGAGGAAGTGAGTGGGGAGCTGTTGCATTGGGGTAAATCATAGTCAATGTCATGAGACAATGTGTGTGTGAACTGTTGTATGGAAAGTGAATTTGGTCTATAAACTTTCACCCAAATCACAATTTTTAAAAAAAGGGAGGATATCTTAAATATATGAACATATTTTTTAAAGCAAAGGGATTAAAAAAGATATTCCATAAATTATTAACTGATAATGATTTTCTTGGTAACTGATATAACAGGTAGGCAAAAAAACAAAAATTAAGAACATTTAAAAGATTTGGAAAACATGGGTAAAAACCTTGATCTATAAAACCAATCATTCTGTGCATTTTTAAAAAAGAACATTCTTTTAAAATACACATGGAACACCTACCAAAACTGACCATTCAGGTACAATAAAGTTTTGTTTCTTATTCTGGTTGGAAGACACAAGATGCATTTACTTTGTGATAACTATGGAGTTATACACTTACAAGGTAGACACTTTTACTATGAATATTATATCCCCAAAACAATACATATTAAAGACAAATCAAAAATATAATACAGTATGAAATCATTAGAGTGTAATCATCATCTGGTTGTATGGTGATGAGCAGCAAATCTTTGCACGTACCTTACTCTCACACTTACATTTACCAAATTTCCAATTTTGAGGCCTACATTCCCCTCTGCCTTCCTGAGTTCCAGATGCTTCAAATTCATGAAACTTTCTGACTTAGAAAAGGCTTAACTTCTTGTTCACTTGTCCCTCTGTAGTGATTTAGGTTCTATCTCTCTGCTTTGCAAAATGAGTTCCAGTCACCCATATGCTTACTCTATTCCATTTTTGAAATTTCTTAGCAGCTATTGTTTTTCTGAGGAGCCCCTATGTGGCATAGTTAAGCACTCAACTAGGAGCCAAAAGCCCATACAGAGACACTTCAGATGCGATCTGCTCCTGAGAGGTCACAGCCTTGGAAACCCGATAGAGCAATTGTACTCTGCACACTTGCGTCCCCATAAGTTGGAATCAACTCAATGGCACTAATAACAGCAACATTATTTTTTCAAGCAATATTTTATTCCCATGAGTTTACAGTTGTATTATTATTATTTTCTGAGATAAACACATATTCAACCCACTTTGTTTCTGTATTTTTCCCATCTTTTGTTGGATTTAAAACATGTTTTTAATTATTTTTCTCTTAATTTTGGAGTTATAAATTATAATTTTATTCTTATGGGCAAATTTTTAACAAACAGTTTACAAAGTCTAAAGTTATTCAAAATGTCCTTCATCTTCTTCAGATAAAGAATAAAGCTAACATGCCTTAACTTACTTTTAATTTATTTTCTTTCATTTTCCAGTCAGTAATGATTAATTTTATATCTACATTTTATATGTAATTTTTATTGACACAATCAAACACCTACACAGTTCAAATTTCAAAAGATTTTAATAGCTATGTAGTAAAAATATTTACTTCTAGTCTTTTATTTCAATCATTCTGTTTCCCTCCCCAAAGGCAATAATGATTTTCAGTTTATTGTATTTTCTTTTAGGAAAAAACTTATAAATAAACAAGAAGCTATATCAATTTGCTAGTTGGGGCCCACACGCTGATGTGGGTAAGGGGAGGTATAGATGGAAAGAGTCTGAGATCACCATGATAACATTAGAAAAAGGGAGGACACTGAATTGGGCACATAGGAGGTAGACGACAGATGGTAATACCAACTAGTGTGCCCACAATGCTCCGTTACCATTAACACCAAACACCAGGCTATAGATAAATATATAAACAGCTGAGAAGATCAGATGGGGGGGAGCAGTGAACAGAAGTATACTCTAGACCAAGGATAGATTCAGCACAGGCTAATCTTGCACAGATACCAGTGACACAAAATACCTGCAATCCTTACAGAAACAACAGAAGACAGACACAGAGCAATCCCTCACAGATGCCCAGACACTATGGGAGAGAGATCCAATGGATCTACAATCTCAGGACCATAGTACTGGGGAACCCTGTACTCAATTTGCACAACAAAATACATAAAAGACTTGTTCCTCACCCTACATTGGTGAGTAGCGACTGGGGTCTTAAAAGCTTTCAAGCGGCCATCTAAGATGCACCTAATGGTCTCCTAGCATCAGAAGTGAAGAAGAGTGCAAAAAAACAAGGGCATTTGGAAGCAATCAGCCCTAGGACACAATGGCCCTTGAGACCAGAAGAATGAGATGGTGCCCAGCTACCAATGTCAACTACTCAGGAAAGGATCAAATCTGGAGATCCTGGATAGAGTGGGAGGAAAAACATGGAACAAAATCCAAAAACTCCATAATGACCAGAATTACTGGTCAGATGGAGTCTGGTGAGACCACCAATACTATGGCCCTGGAATACATTCTGCACCTGGAATAAAACTCACTCCCAGGGGCTGGCTCCCAGCCTAATAGTTAACAAGATATACATGCGGACCACTCAAACCAGGTGATGCACCCACATACTCTATGGAATACATCCCTTGGAGCAATAGACCACGGGACACCAGAGGGGCAACATTTACATGGAGGTAATGGGGGTCAAACAGAGCATAACTATGAGGGGCATGGGGGTAGGGTTAATGGGCAGGGAGGGGAGGAGACTGGGTTAGGGTTAGGCATGGTAAATGGGGAATGAAACTAAATGTACACGTAACATTGAATGCAAAATAAACTCTTTAAAAAAAATTGTACTTCTTTTCAGTGAAAACTGCATTCTGTCCTCTACTTGGTTTTTAATATACACTCGCTCCTTGCTTATAAGCAATGTTAGGTTAGGTTTCAAAGATCAGGTCACTATGCAAAATCAGAGTTCTGCAAATCAGAGGTCATGCTCCAACGTAGGCACCAGGGCTCCCTGCTTCCCCTCCTTGGCCGATCAGGTGTCCCTAGTGTGTTTCAAGATGTGCTTGGCATGGTGGGGCCTCCTTCCCCCACCATGTCTTCCCCATAACCATGGAGCCCCAGTGGCCTGAGGTGGTGGTGGTGATCCTCAGATGTTGCCTGCTGCCTGCCACCTCCGCTGCCTGCTGTGGGCGAGAATCCCACTTGTCTTCCACCTGCTGCCTCCGACTGCCCACTCTGGGCAGGGATTCCAGTTACCCTTCACGTGTGCCAGCCCTGCAACTTCACGCAGCACTCTTCCTTCTCCCCACTTCCTACCTCTCTCCACTGACCTTCCTGGCACCTTCAGGCCCTCCCCCATCCTCATTCTGCACATCTGCTACTTAACCTTGTTCCACCTTTGTCCCGATGTTGCTCTGCACCTTCTGTGGCTGGACTGAGACATCTCAGATGAAGAGAAGAAGGCATCTTACAGCAGGTCAACTGCTGTCCGTGGTGTGACCTGGTCGTAACTGAAGGCTCCTATATATTGTTTGGGGGTGGCCTGTGGAGGATGCTGTTGGTCTGGCTGCAGCCCCCCATGAAACCTGGGCCATCAGAGTTGCTGCTCGAGAATTTTTTTGAATGTTGTTGTACATACAAAATGTTGGATCATGAGATAGTTGATAAGTGAGGAGTAAGAGTACACATATGTCTTTGAAATCACTCACTATAAGAACATAAAGAGTATCACCACTTACAGCTACAGAATATTTGATTGTGTTGATTTTTTATTTACCAGCTTGCAGTTTGTTTCCATTTCTGTACACTTATAAATAATGCTGTTGTGAATAATTGTGTTTATATTTCAATTTGTGTGTAAATGTAAGTGCATTTGTAAGATAAATTCCTAGTATAGAACTTTGTATATTTATAGTTTTGCCTAAGGCATTTGACTGCTAACCAGAATGCTGTTGGTTCAATCCCACCAGCCACTCTTCAGAAGGAAGATTGGATAATCTACTTCTGTAGTGATACCGCCTTGGAAACCCAAGGAGGGGTCTCTATGAGTTAGATCCAACTCTACAGCACTGAGTTTGGTTTTTTTTTTGTTTTGTTTTATTAAATGCAATTGTAAGATAAATTCCTAGTAAATAACTTGGCATGTTTATACTTTTGACAGGTACAATATTTTCATTGCTCTCCATAGAAATCCTACTTACTTATAATGCCTATGTCACTAAACCCTTGCCATACCACTGATAAATAAAAAAACTGTATCTCAATTTGATTACAATTTTTCTTTTTCTTTTTGTGAATGACTTTTCACTGTGAACACTCTGTTTCACAAAGGTCCAAAGAGCTAGCCTATTTCCATTGTCTGGTGAGAAGTATAAACCCAATGAAGTTACACCACAATTCTAAGTCAGTTCTCTAGATGACACGCATCATAGCCCTTGCCTGGGTGGAGATCCAGCTTTCCTGCAGAACAAAGTGAGTTACACTGTACATAGCAGTTAATAATTGTAAGATAATGTTTCCTTTTTTTTTTTTTTTTGCCTTTCTGATTTTCAATCTATCAACAGTTTTGAGATACCTCTTCCAAAACCTTTATGCTATTTCAAATCCATTTGCGTGTAATCAAGATATTTGACAATGTTAAAGAGTAATTATGCTCTAACATAACATTCCTTCAGAAAACCAAAAAAGCTACAGTAGGAAGCAGGAGGGAACTAACGATCACCAAGATATCTGCCAGAATATGGCCTAGGTCCTTTCCATGTCACTTCAAAAAATATTCATATTTTTGTAAGTAAGCTAATTTCAGCTCAGTCATGGGTACATGTTGAACACTCAGTGAGTATTAGCTATTATACTTAGTATTACTATTTGTTTGTTATTTTTCTCCTCAAACTAGGTGTCTAGATAGTTACCAAAGTCGAGAGATTTTACTTATTGACTTTAAGTTTCATTTCTAATAGTCTTAAAGTATTTTTTAAGTTGGTTGCCTAGACTAAAACATAATTCTATCACCTAAGTTATTTTTACTACTTCAAATTTAAGCTTGAATGGGTTAGATATTTTCAGAAAACTGGAAACAAATTTCTAGTCCCTGAAGATAACATTTCTCTTCTTAAATAATACATGCAAATCTTCCCTGCAAGGCATGGTCCTTGAAATAAATCTTTTACCTATGCCTGCTAGGCTCACCCAGTCTTGCCGGAGAGCTACTCAGAACCCTCCAGAACTTCCCTCTCACTCAGAACCAAATTGCATTCTTACAAGACTTTAGAACAATAATATCATAAATGTTTCTTCCTTCTTGGTATAGGGATTGCCAATGGCTACAGGTACCCCTCCTGATCAAGTCACTGGCTTTCTGGTTCTGTCCCTGAGGGCCTCAAATCTCAGAGCATAATCCTCATATTCCTACAAGATTTTTCCAGAGGTTTCACCACCTACCTCCTGCATTCCAATCTGGGATCTTCAGGAGTATATAACCACACCCGGCCATGGAGCAGAGAACAGAAGCAACAGAGAGAGCTAAAGGATGACAGAGTACACAGGTGAGGCTGGGATGCCCGTGAATGATTAGTGATAAGAGGGGAACACCTGAGGGAAAGTTTATTATGGGTGAGAGTAGGGGATACTGTCTAGGGAGTGAATAAAGCAGACCCACTTTCAGAGACACATTGACAGCAGCTTGGACTGGGGTGGGGAGATGTGATATGGAACAGGAAATGAAATGATTTATCCAGAGATTTATCACTGTCCTCCACTGAGTTCAAAAAGAAACCCTGCTCCCATTGGTCCCTTTTACATCTAACCTGTGGCCATTAAAGACAAAGTCTTTCCAAAGCATATTAATAATAGTCAAATGCCTTCTTAATTCAGCCACAGGTCATTTATGCATAAATCCTATTCTGGTTACCTAGTGCCACTGTGACAGGAATATACCACAAAGGTAATGGCCTTAAAAAACAGGAGTTTATTCTCTTACAGTTTGGGAGACTAGAAGTACGAGGTCAAAGTGCCAGGTACTGGGGGCTGGGTGAAAGCCCCTCGACCTTGGGCTTCAGCTCTGCCTCTGAAGCTAGAGGCTTTTTTTTTTTTTCACTCAGACAGCTGCTGGCTGCTGAAGCTAACAAGCCCAAGGTCAATGAATGAAATGGCACAATCTCGATGTTACCAAACCATACAGCAGGCCATTAATTCAAGCCCATTGTAAGTCCTAAGGTCAGCAGAGCATGGCAGGCTGCTGAACAATGACATGGTTACATGCAGGGTCCAAGCATGCCACAAGCTAGAGACCATTCCCCAAGGCTTCTGCTTATATATAAGAACTGCTTCCTGTATGTTACACATTTCCTAAGGCAGCTACTCAGTGGCTCACAGTAGATTCCACCACGGAGCTGAGCATCATGGGGAATACTACATCCAGCTGCCCAGCCATTCAACCAGTCCTAGCCAAGTTGACACACAAACTGAACTACCACAAATCCTATCCTGAAAACCATCTTTTCTGGGTAATATTCCCTCCATTTCCATTTTTCTTGTCTTCCTTTGTGTTCTACAAATGGCTCAACCAATGTCTTACAGTGGGGTGGCAGTGGCCCTAAAATAATTATGGAAACATCTGAATAAAGAATGAACAAAAAGCAGCACAAACCAGACATGGGTTCCTGAATCACACTGCTATGAAGGAAGGGCTTGTGGTTTTCCAGCCATGCAATTATCCAGCAGTGAGGATTAGAAGTCAAAATGAAGATGAAGAGGTGATTTCCTCAATAGTTTCCAGCAATTGAGTCTAGACCTTACCACATAAGGACAAATCATAGAAGGACTGGATGAAATCTAAAGACCTAAATACACTACCCCTACACATAATGCAAGAGTCCCCATCATCCTCATCTGGTAGAGCATCTCTAAGAATTTTACCTGTGTGGAGAATTACTTGAAAGACTAAAAGTAACTACTTTATTTTCGTTGTTGTATACCATTGAGTTAATTCTGACTCATAGTGATCCCTTGTGTTACAGTGAAGAACTGTTCCATAAAGTTTGATGGCTCTACTCTTTATGGAAGTATATTGCCAGGCCTTTTCTTTAGTGCTGTTGGGATGGTCCAAACCATCAATCCTTTCGTTGCCAGCCAAGTGCTAAGCATTTTCAACACCCAGAGATCTTAAGTCTTATAAAATCTAAAACCAAACTCATTGATTCTGACTTGTAGTGACCCCTATTGGGTTTCCAATGCAGTAAATCTCTATGGAAGTGATTGCTCTATCTTCCTTCCATGGAGAGTTTGGTGGGTTTGAACTGCCAAACTTCTGGTTAGCAGTCAAATGCCTTAGGCATTATACCACCAGAGTTCATTAACTGTCTTATAGCAAAGTAAAATTGTTCAAGTTTTCACTGGTATTAAGCATTTGCTCATTTGTTTTTTTCCCTCAATATGCACTCACTGACTTCAGGTCTGCCCACAGATGAAAAAGATCAAATACAAATCCCAAAATCTTCTAATCTTTGATAGACTTTCAGACGATGCATCTACAATATCTTCTTTCTCTTCTTAAAAACTGCCCCCACCCCATCATGTGCTCACGCACACTTACACTTTCACACACTTGGGCCTAGTATTCATCCACTTAATTATTTCACTTGATAACTCCTAAGAAAATAAAACTCAACATACATACACTGCACCTGTGATCTTTCCCCCAGAGCCGTCTACTACTCAAGTGCCCCATAGCTCTGCTGGCCTAGTGCCTAAGACATTTGACTGATAACCAGAAGGCTTGAGGTTCAAACCCACCAGCCACTCTTCAGAAGGAAGATTGGGCAATCTACTTCAGTAGAGATACCACCTTGGAAACCCAAGGAGGGGTCACTATGAGTCGAATCAACTTGACAGCAGTGAGATAACCCAAAGAGTTGCTAACGTAAGAAACTTGGGCATCCTCTGTGATACTTCTCCCCACTCAATACTACCGATTCATTTGAAGTGCAAGAAGTATCTTATTTTTTTTCTGTGATGCTAAGTAGAATGTACACAAAGATTAATCTTTGTATTTGACTACTAGAAAGGTATTTGAAATAATAAGATCACTTTCATTTAGTAAAAGCATATATCTACCTGAATATAGACATATATACAGGAGCAGGTGAGAAGAGCAATATAACAGGTTTGTGGGAAGCATAAAATAAAATATAGTGCAACACAAAAAACATGAAAGATTTAAAAAACAAACTAATTTTAAATAGAAATTTATGGCAAAAGAACCCACACTTGTTAGTGTTTTAGCTAATTATATAGCTCAGCAGTTTTAGAAAAAGCAATCCCAGACACATCTTTAAGTCTTGAATTGAATAGAAAATGACTCTATATCAGTAGCACACAGACAAGATACTTATTGTGGGAAACAGATTCTGGTTCTTCATTCATCAGTCATATCCAAGGAGTATAACACCACCCAGGATCCCTTCTACTTCATCCTCACGGGCATCCCTGGATTTGAGGCCTTCCACATCTGGATCTCTATTCCATTTGGCTGTTTCTACACAATTTCCATCATGGGCAACACCACCATCCTTGCTGTCATCCACAAAGAGCCATCCCTCCACCAGTCCATGTACCTGTTTCTCTCCATGCTGGCCCTGACTGACCTTGGTCTCACCCTCACCACCCTGCCCACAGTCATGCAGCTCCTCTGGTTCAATATTCACAAGATCAGCTTTGAAGCCTGTTTTGCCCAGTTCTTTTTCCTCCATGGGTTCTCATTCATGGAATCCTCTGTCCTGCTGGCTATGTCCTTTGACCGCTATGTGGCCATCTGTCGCCCCCTCCATTATGCCTCCATCCTCACCAATGAAGTCATTGGCAGAATTGGGTTAGCCATCCTTTGCCGCTGTGTTCTGGCCGTTCTTCCTTCCCTTTTCCTACTCAAGCGCCTGCCCTTCTGCCACTCCCACCTCCTCTCTCACTCCTACTGCCTCCACCAGGATATGATTCACCTGGTCTGTGCTGACATCCGGATCAATAGCTGGTATGGATTTGCTCTGGTATTGCTTATTATTGTGATGGACCCGTTGCTCATTGTGTTATCTTATGCAATGATTCTAAGAAGTGTCCTGGGTGTTGCCTCTACGGTTGAGAGACTCCGTGCCCTTAATAACTGTCTGTCCCACATTCTGGCTGTTTTGGTTCTTTATGTCCCCATGATCGGGGTCTCTATGACTCACCGCTTTGCTCAACATATCTCTCCACTGGTTCACGTTATCATGGCCAATATCTACCTGCTGGCACCTCCTGTGATGAACCCTATAATTTATAGTGTAAAGACTAAGCAGATTCGCCAAGGAATCTTTTACCTCCTTTTCCAGAGGAAATTCCACTAAGATTGGAATTAAGGTTTAGAGAAATGCTATTTTGTACAGGTAACATGGATTAAAGAATAGAAACCACTACTACCAAAGCTGTAAACAGCACAGATGGAGCGAGGAACAGCTTAAGAAACTTTAAATGTAAATGAAGAGATATGATTATTCCTTGACTAGAAACTAAAAGACTTAGGTTTTATGAACCCAACTTTGCTCTTAACTAGCCATATTGTTTGAGGGGGGAAAAAAAAGATTTAAAAATATAATTTAAAATACACTCCCTATTCTGCCTTCAGCACAGTGGTGGTATGATTGAGTATGTGACAAAATGTAAGAATTTGTTTGTAAACTCAAAATTCTGGTAAATATATGAAAATGCTCATTGGAACTGGAATGTGCCTATGCCCTTATAAATAATTGCTAAGCTGATATTGGCTTTTTAATTAAACACAGGTGTTCATGTAATCTCAATCAGCAATAATGAAAGAGAATTTTCATAAGCTAGGGAGGTAAATTAAAGAAAGTTGGTTGTGGATACGGATGGGACATGGAAAGAAAACTGAACACTAATTTTCAACCAAAATGGAAGGACCAGGGGATTTAAGAAAGTGTTGAATTAATGCTCAAGATAGAATTCAATGTTAGTGAAGGAACTAGTGTTTCAGAGAGATAAAAACAACTGCTGAGAGAAAATGGTAGATGCTGTTCAGAGCAGTAAGTTTACTTCTGGAAGAAACACATACAAAGAGCTTGAATGTTAAGGATATGATGCATAGAAAACACTAAATTATTTAAACTAGATTTGTTTACTAAACTTGCTCAAGCTGTGCTGTTATTATGGTGGGCACCTTTGCTTTTCCTGCAAACATTTTTTTTCTTTTATTTTTAATTTTATTGTGATTTATTGTGATTTGAATGAAAGTTTACAGAGCAAATTCATTTTCCATTCAACATTTTATGTACATTTTGTTTCATGACATTGACCACAATCTCCATCCACAATGGAACAGCTCTCTTCCCACTTCCTTCCTGTAATTACCTCTTCCCTGTGCCTTCATTCCTATGCATTACTGCCCCCAAGCTATCTCCCTGTACAAATACTGCCCTTCTGATTTCCCATGATTGATTGTTCTAAGGAATGTATCTATCTGGTATAAATGTTCACCCTATATGCCTGTCTATTGTTTGGAAGAAAGTTACGAAAGTGAGTTCAATCCCATGTCTGAAGGTTACTAGGGGACATGGTCTTGGGTGTCTCACCAGGCACTATCAAGACCCTTCTCACAAAAACCAAGCTCACTTCCGTCAAGTCAGATCCAACTCATAGCAACCCTTCCTTGGATTTTCGAGGTGATATCACTGCAGAAGTAGATTGCCCACTCAGAGGAGTGCCTGGTGGGTTTGAACCACAAGCCTTCAGGTTAGCAGTTAAATGCTTTGGTGCTACACCACCAGAGCTCCCATCAGACCACTAGCCTGGTCTTTTTTTTTTTTTTTTTTATGATTTTGAGTTTTCTTCCGCATTGTTCTCCCACTCTATCCAGGGTCTCCTGCATTGATCTCTTTCTAAGTGATGGACAGTGATATCCATGAACAGTCTAGTTCTTCTGGTCTCATGGTCATATAGGCTGAGGTTCATATGGTCTACTAGTCCCTTGGACTGATTATTTCCACGTGTCTTTGGTTTTCTTCATTCTTCTTTGCTCTGGATGAGTAGAGACTCATAGATGCATCTAGATGGCCACTTGCAAGCTTTTAAGACCCCAGTCACTATTCATCAAAGTAAGATGTAGAACAATGTTTTTGTGTAGTATGTTATGCCATTTGACCTCGATGTCCCCCATAACCACAGTCCCAAACCCAAAGGTTCAACAACTCACTCCATCGGAGTGGTTGGCTGTAGTGAAGAAGGTATCATAACTTTGCACCACGCCTGTAAACATTTTAACAGTGTTTATAACATCCTGAATTATCTATCAAGGAGCTCTGGTGGCTTATTGGTTAAAATGCTTGCCTCCTAACCAAATGTCAGTGGTTTGAACTCACTAGCCCTTCTGTAGGAGAAAGATGCAGCAGCCAACTTTCATTAATATTTACAACCTTAAAAACCCTATAAGCCATTTCTGTTCTGTCCTATATTGTCCCTGTGAGTCAGAATTGACTTGATAGCAGTGGTTTTTGGTTTTTTTGTTTGTTTGTTTGTTCGTTTGTTTGTTTTGCAGTAGGTTTAGGTGGGTTATCTGTCACTGACCTTCTCTGAAGCCGTTTGTACATCTCTTTTCTCATTTTCTGTCTGAACTACATACAGTAAGATCTGGCTTGCAAACGTCTGAGTTAGAAAGTCTGACTTACAGACAAGTACTTGTCCTTTAATATGTAAATTTGCCCTCACCTTGACATGATTGAACCAACATCTATTCACAACTTATTCATTACATTTACCTTCATTTGCTGTACATGCAGATTTAAATCATTGAAAAGGCTTCAAGCTGTTCTTGCATTAAAGTAAGGCTAAGTAGGAAATAAATGCATCTGTTTTGACTTACCTACAAATTCAACTTAATGATACAATTTGGAATGGATTTCCTCCATAAACCAGGGACTATCTGTAATTATTCCCCAGAGTTCTAAATTAACTTTCAATTTGCAGTTTACAGCATGCTGTCTTTTTCTCCTTCTTTGCACACTACATTCCCTATCTCTGGATCTCAGTTAGTGTAGTGCCTAAGACACTTGTCTGCCAGAAGGCTGGCAGTAGTGATACTGTCTCAGAAACCCAAGGAGGTGTCACTATGAGTCGGGTCCAACTCGACGGCACATAACAACAATAACCCCTATCTCATCCTTTAAAGCCTATACTAACAATTGCTTTCAATACAAGATACAAAAACTGGAAAGAAACTCAACAAAGATGCAGTAGGACTAAACAATACAATCAACCAACTTGACCTTGTAGACATATGACCTCATAGAGCACTTTTTCCAACAACAGCAAAATACACATTCTTTTCCAGCACACATGGAACATTCTCCAGAATTGACCATATGTTAAGCCATGAAGCAAAATAAGCATCAATAAATACAGAAACATTGTAATACTGCAAAGCAATTTCTCAGATCACAATGCTATAAGATTAGAAATCAACACCAGGAAGACCAATGGAAAAAGAGAAAATGCATTGAAACTGAATAACACCCTCTTCAAAAATGACTGGGTAAGAGAAGAAATAAAACACAAAACTAAAAAATTCCTTGAATCAAATAAGAATGAAAACACAACATGCCAAAATTTTTGGGACACAACAAAAGCAGTGATCAGAGAGCAATTTATAGCAATAGATGTACAAATCAAAAAGAAGAAAGAGAAAAAAAACCTTAACCCAATATCTTCAACAATTAGAAAGAAACAAGCAAAAAATTAAAAATCCTATAGTCAGCAGAAGAAAATAAATAATAAAGATTCAAGCAAAAATAAATGAAACAGAAGAAAGAAAGACAACAGAAAAAAACAACACTAGAAGTTGGTTCTTTGAAAATATGAATGCAATCAACCAACTACTGTCAAACTTAACAAAGGGAAAGGAGGGGAATAATCAAATAACTCAAATAAGAAATGAAATGGGTGATGTTTCAACAGAACCAACAGAAATAAAAAAGAATAATATCTGGATACTGTGATGAATCTGTGATAAATTATATCCCAACAAATTTGAAAACCTAGAAGAAATAGACAGATTTCTAGAAACACAGCACTTACCTAAACTAACACAGACTGAGGTAGATCCATAACAAAAGAAATCGAACAGGTCATAAAAAAATTACCAACAAAAAACTTCCTGGCCCAGATGGTTTTAGTGAATTCTACCAATCATTCAGAGAAAAGCTGACAAGAATCCTGCTCAGACTAGTCTAGAACATAGAAAAGGATGGAATCCTCCCAATTTCATTTTATGAAGCAAGCCATAACCCTTATACCAAAACCAGGCAAAGACATCACTAGAAAGGAAGACCACAGACCAATATCTCACATGAATATGGATGCAAAAATCTTCAACAAAATCCTAGTCAATAGACTCCAACAACATATAAAAATAATAATAATACATCATGACCAAGTGGGTTTCATACCAGGTATGCAAGGATGGTTCAACATTAGAAAAACAATTAACGTCACATAACTTTTTCGTTTAACTAAAATTAAGGAAAAGAATCACATGATCATATCAATAGATGCAGAAAAGGCATTTGATAAAATCCAACATCCTTTCCAGATCAAAACTCTCAACAAAATAGGTATATAAGGGACATTCTTCAACATAATAAAGGGCATCTGTGCAAAACCGAAAGCCAACATTATTCTCAATGGAAAAAGACTGAAACCATTCCCCTTGAGAATGGCAACCAGACAAGGATTTCCCCTTTCTCCACTTCAATTCAACATTGCATTGGAAGTCCTTGCCAGGGCAATAAGGCAAGAAAGGGAAATGGAAGGCATCAAAATTAGTAAGGAAGAAGTAAAATGACACCTATTTGCTTATGATATGATCCTACACATAGAAAACCCAAAAGACTCAGCAAGAAAACTATGGAACTTATTGAAAGTTTTAGTATAGTTCTAGGATACAAGATCAAGATCCAAAAATCAGTTGGATTCATCTACACCAGCAAAGAGGTCTCTGAAAATGAAATAAGGAAATCAATACCATTTACAATAGCTACCAAAAAGATAAAACACTTGGGAATAAATCTTACCAGGAACACAAAAGAAAACTACAAAACAGTACTTCAAGAAACTATAAGAGATCTTCATAATTGGAAGAATATGCCATGGTCATGGATAGGAAGATTGAACATTGTGAAAATTTCAATACTACCCAAAGAAATCTGTACATTCAATGTGATCCTAAACCAGATTCCATGAACATTCTTTAAAGACATAGAAAAACAAGTCACTAAACTTACATGGAAAGGAAAGAGACCTCAGATAAGCAAAGCATTACTGAAGATGAAGAACAAAG